TCATTTTACAGTTGAGAAACACGAAGGCCCAGAGTAGTTCAGTAACTTGTCCAATGGGACACAAGAGCAAGGACTCGAACACAGAACCACCACTGAACCATAAATAATTGTTTACAATTCAAACCTGTTTTATTCAGTGAAAATATTATTAAATAGACATGTTTTCTGAGGGCGATGGAGTAAGCAGAAATGAGTCAGTGAATATTTTAACACCAGTGCTATAAAATAGATTAGGTTACTTATTCCGTATTGCAAGATGGAAAAATTTAGGCCAAAGAGGGAAATGCCTAATAGCCAGAGGCAGTCCACTTGCCTCAGTCTCCCAAAGTGCTAGGATTACAGACTGAGCTACCGAGCCGGCCCCGGATTCAAGATCAGCCTGGGCAACTTGGCAAGACCTCATCTCTACAATAGAACAAAAAATTAGCCATGTGTGGTAGCACGCGCCTGTAGTTCCAGCTACTTGGAAGGCTGAGGCGGAAGGATCACCAGAGCCCAGCAGGTTGGCGCTAGGGTGGCTGTGAGTGTGCCACTGCACTCCAGCCTGGGTGATGGAGTGAGACTCTTAACTCAAAAAAAAAAAAAAAAGATAAAGAATGTACTTTCCTCAACTTGTTCCATACAGAAAATCTTACTCCTCTGATTCTTTCAGAAACATCAAATGTACTTAAAGGTACATATCATGGAGATAGACGTAAGAACTAGAAGAAAACACAGTAACCATTGTTGCTCTTTTTTCTTTCTCTCATACTTTGCCATATTAATATACTGGCACACAGCTTGTCTCCAAATGCTTGGTATCACCTTCGTTACTACTTCGCAGAAGCATTTTTCTGGTGATCTTGATCACTCACAGAGGATAGGCTGACTTCAGTGTTCTTTGGATCACTTAGGTCTGCCCTTTAGATTCCAGATTCCTGTGCCCACCTCATTTGCCTTAATGTGACACATAAATGAATGGCCTCCATTTTTCTAGCTTGTTCCTCAAGTAAGAATCTCCTTCCTCCACATACTGGGAGGCAATCTTGTTAAAACTACAAGTCCTCAATTAACTATACTCCTAGAATGTCACAACTACCGTATTTATGCCTTGTGAATTACATAGAATTAAAGGTTCATGTTCCTTGTTAAAGTTAGGGTCAGGACCCAAGTCTTCTTGACAACTTCATTATTCTTTCCCAATACTATGTGTCTTCCCTTAAATGCCTATCACACCAAGATGCTATAAAATAGATTAGGTTACTTACTCCGCATTGCAAGATGGAAAAACTTAGGCCAAAGAGGGAAATGCTAATAGCCAAAGGTAGGTTTCTTGAGACCTAGTATGCTAGACTTATTATTTTTCCTTTTGTACTTTACCAAAACAGAGAAATATCAAAGTATGATATTACTGGAGGATAAAAGATGCACAGCCCAAGAACTATTTTTTATTGTAAGAAAGTTACATGTAATCTGTTTGCATGTTAAGTGCTACCAAATAGCAACTTTGGAAGCTCCTATAAATAATGACTGTCAGAAAAGCCTAGTTGGTGACTGGTGCTTGATCAATAGTCCTGAGATAAGAGATTTTCTCATCAAAAAGAAAAAAAAGAGTAAAGGTTTATCAGTATTCTTCCTACTTATCTAAGAGGAAGACATTCTGCAGTAGTTTTGATGCGATAAAGATACCCTAGTGCTCAAACTAATTGTTCTTGAGGGACAAAAGTGAGAAGTCACACGTCCTAACTTCAAAACTTACCACAAAGCTCCACTAACCAAGATAGTCTGGACTGGCTTAAGGATTGACGTATAGACCAATGGAATAGAATTGTGAGTCCAGAAATAAAATCTTACATTTATGATTGTCTTAGTCCAGTTAGTGTTGCTGTAACAGAGTACCGGATGCTGGGTAATTTACAAAGAAAAGATATTTATTTAGCTCACGGCTATGCAGGCTAGGAAGTTCAAGGGCATGGCCTCGGCTTCTGGTAAGGGCTTTTGTGCTCTGTCATAACATGCTAGAGAAAATCCAAGGGGAAGCAGACATGTGCAAAGAGGAAAATCTTTGGGGCATCCTGTCTTTATAACAACACACTCCTGCAAAAACTAATGCATTCCCATGAGATTTAATCTACTCTCACTAGAGGAGAACTAACTCACTACCTCAAGAGTGGCACCAGTCATTCATGAGGGATTTGCCCCCATGACCCAAACACCTCTCACTAGGCCTCACCTCCTAACACCAACACATTGGGGATCAAATGTCAACATGTGTTTTAGTGGGGATAAACAAATCATATCCAAATCATAGCAATGGTCAATGTAATTGACCTTGATTTTTGAAAATTCAGTAATGGAGAGAATAGTCTTTCAACAAGATACTGGACAACTGGATATCCACATGCAAGAGAATTAATTTAGAATCTTATCTTACCTCACATACAAAAATAAACTCAAAATTAATAAAATATTTAAATGTAACAGCAAAGCTATTAAATTCTTAAGAGAAAACATAGGCACAAATCTTTGTGACCTTGGATCAGGCAATGGTTTCCTAGATACAAAATCAAAAGCACAAATGACAAAAGAAAAATAAACTGGACTTCATCAAAATTAAAATGTTTGTGCTTCAAAGGACACCATCAAGAAAGTGAACACAACACACAAGAAAATGTTTGTAAATCATATATCTGATAAGATATATAAAGAACTCTTACAGCTCAATGGTAAAAAGACAAACCACCTAATTAAAAAAATGAGCAAATGATCTGAATAAATGTTTCTCCAAAGAAAATATATAAATAGCTAGTAAGCACATAAAAGATGTTCAATATCATTAGCCGTTAAGGAGATGCAAACCCAAACCACAATGAGATGTTACTTCATAACTACCAAGATAGCTATACCAAGATAGTTATAATCAAACTGACAAATGATATTTATAATCAAACTGACAAATGATAGTAAGAGTTGGCAAAGATGTGAAAAAACTGCCGGGCTCAGTGGCTCAGCCTGTAATCCCAGCACTTTGGGAGGCCAAAGTGAGTGGATTGCCTGAGCCCATGGGTTCGAGACCTGCCTGGGCAACTTGGCGAGACCTCATCTCTACAATAAATCAAAAATAAGCTGGGTGTGGTAGCGTGCGTCTGTAGTTCCAGCTACCTGGAAGGCTGAGACGGAAGGATCGCCGGAGCCCAGCAGGTCGAGGCTGAGGCTGTGGTGGCCGGGAGTGGCCACTGCACTCCAGTCTGGGCGACAGAGTGAGGCTCCAACTCAAAAAAAAAAAAAAAAGATGTGAAAAAACTATGAGAATGCAGAGTGGTGTAGTCTCTTTGAAAAAAATTTTAGTAGTTTCTCAAAAATTAAAACATAGGGCTACCATATGACCCAGCTATTCTATCTCTAGATATGTACCCCAAAGAAATGAAAACATATGTTCACACAAAACACCTTTACACAAATGTTCATAATAGTATTATTCAAAATAGTGAAAAAGTAGAAACAACCCCAATGCCGACCAATTGACGAACGGTTAAACAGCATGTGGTATATCCATACGATGGAATATTTGGCAACAAAAAGAAATGAAGTACTGATGCATGCTACAAGATGGATAATCACTGAAAGTGCCATGCTAAGCAAAAGAACTTAGTTACAAAAGAGCAAACGCATGATTGCATTTTTATGAATGGCCACAATAGGCACATGTATAGAGACAGGAAATAGAACAGTAGTAGCTGCCATGGCATGGGAAGAGAGTTTAACGGGAAGAAAGAGTTTCTTTTTGGGAGGATGAAAATGTTTTTGATTTAGATTATAATGATGGTTGTATAGTTTTGTGAATATATGAAAAACAAATGAATTGTATGCATTAAAGTGATGAATTTTATGGTAATTTATATCTGGAAATAAAAAAGACAAGACAGCACAAGAAGACTCTAAAACTTATCTAAATATATATTTTAAAAACCCCAAACTCTTTTCTATGATTTGAATTCACTAAAGCTGGGCACGGTGGCTCATGCCTGTAATCCCAGTACTTTGGGAGGTGGAAGCAAGAGGATTGCCTGAGCCCAGAAGTTTGAGACCAGCCTGGGAATCTTGGTGAGATCTCATCGCTACAATAAATAAAAAAATTAGCTGGGCATGTACGCCTGTAGTTCCAGCCTACTCGGAAGGTTGAGGTGGAAATATCGCCCGAGTTCAGCAGGTTGAGGCTGTGGTGGCCATGAGCATGCCACTGTACTCTAGCCTGGGGGACAGAGTGAAACTCTAACTCAAAAAAAAAAAAAAGAATTCACTTAAACATTACCTTTTTTTCTTCAGCAACAATAAACATAATGATAACAATAGCAGCTACTTAATAAGCACTTACAAGACACTGTACTAAGTATTTTATACTTGGTGTTCTCCCTCATATCATCTCAATGACCATGCACATGGGGTTATTAGCTCATTTTACAGAAAGGACACTGCAGATCAAAGATTTGTCCAAGATCATATAAAGGTAACTAAGTCTGACTCCAGAGACTCTGTTACAGCATTTTGTCTTCCTTAAAAGTGTGAGTCGTGGCTGGGCTCGGTGGCTCAGCCTGTAATCCCAGCACTTTGGGAGGCCAAGGTGAGTAGATTGCCTGAGCACATGGGTTCGAGACCCGCCTGGCAACTTGGCAAGATCTCATCTCTACAATAAATCAAAAAATCAGCCGGGCATGGTAGCGCACGCCTATAGTTCCGGCTACTTGGAAGGCTGAGGTGGAAGGATTGCCGGAGCCCAGCAGGTCGAGGCTGCGGTGGCCGGGAGTGGCCACTGCACTCTTGTCTGGGCGACAGAGTGAGACTCCAACTCGGAGAAAAAAAAAAAAGTGTGAGTCGTTGGTCTCCAATGCTAAGTTATTTTCAATGTATTACATTGTTCTTTTTCCTGATCTTATCAACAAATTAGCTATCATTTCAGGGTCCGGTATTAAATAACAGTCTTTCTTCCTTAGTTTGTTGTATATTGGGAAAAGCAGAAAAAATTCCTATATGACAAGTTTTTATTTGTATCAAATACAGAGTTGTAAGTATAAGATTATGATTTGAATATTATAATATAACTTTAACTTTGGCACATTATTTAATTATCCAAAGTTTATTACATGTTTGAGTGCACAATGAAGAGATTATTTGGCATAATTTGACAAGATAAAATTTCCTTACCTTTTTGACTATTTATCATGTATATATGGTACATTTATGTATGTATGTGTGTGTATACATACACATACTCCTAAATTAAATATATTTTTATAAAAAGCTAAAGATTTTTCATATGTTAAGATTAACACATTTAAAAAATCTATTATATTAAATTGCATCTGCATTCAAAGCAGAAATGTAAAAAAACCGATCAATTTACTAAATACACATGAATTTACAAAGTAATTGAAAATGAAATAAAATTTTCTATTGAAATGTTATATTCCTGTTTAATTGACATTTAAGTGGCACTATCAAACTATGGAAATAAACATCATTTTTTAGCTTGTTGAGATAATAAAGATTCTACAAGCATTACCGTACCCTCTAAATTAATATTGAACATTATTATAGTAGGAAAAAATGGCAGATAATTTTCTTCTTTATTAATACAGGAGTTCTCAGGAAGCAATCAGGGCAGTGTCTGTACTTCTGGGCTTGGATTTTCTGCTTTTCCATCAGTGGAAGTCCGGCTTCTCAGGAAACGTGCAGCCAGTTCGCCTAATTATGACACTTGCTGCATAGTGGCCAGCACGGATGCATTCAGTCAGAGGCTTGTCAGAGACCAGTTGAGACAGAAAACCTACAACACAGACAAAAAAGAACATGAGTATTGGGTTACAGCATCAGAAATGTCATACTGAGTCAGACCAAAATATGGTCTAAGCCTCTGTCTCCTTTTTTATCCTTGACAGTAAGTCTCAAGCACTAGAGAGGTCTGTCCCCAAACATCATGACCTTCTTCTAATATTTCTTCTAATAAGCTCAAGTTGGGATATGACAACTTGTCATCAAGTAAATCTAGTCTTTGTAAGTCTAACCTATCATGCTTCCCTTTCACTTTGAGATTAAAAGGTTGTAAGCAAAAAACACTGGCCAAATAATCTTATTTTGGGTGTTTATAGCTGAGAAGTTATTAGTTATTCCTTTCCCTCTTCCTCTGGATTTCTTCTGTATTGTTATTTCTAGCATATTGCTATTTAGACACAATTATATTATGCAGATGTCTCTTCAAATACAACTTTGAGAGATGAAAAGTGACAAAAGATTTTACATTTCTCTTTCATTCCCAGAAATGACAATGAAATAATTTCTGTAGCCAAGTATGATAGACCAGCTTGACAATAAAACATATTTTCTTTTTTCAGTTGGAGTTTCACACTGTTGCCCAAACTGGAGTGCAGTGGCAAACTCAAACTCCACCTGCTGGGCTGAGGTGATCCTTTCCCTTAGCCTTCCAAGTAGCTGGAATTATAGGCATGTGCCACCATGCCCAGCTAATTTTTTGATTTATTGTAGAGATGAGGCCTCGCCAAGTTGCCCAGGCTTGTCTCGAACCCATGGGCTCAGGCAATCCTCTCATCTCAGCCTCCCAAAGTGCTGGGATTATAGGCGTGAGCCACTGCACCTGGCATAAAATAAATTTTAATGTAAAAAAAAAAAAAGTGTTGAAGACTTCTGCTTCTGACCAAGATGAAATAAAAGGAATCAGATTTGCTCTTCCTCTAGAAACAACTAAAACAAAGACAAAATATATGAAACAAAGCTTTTCAAATATTGTATATCAGCCATAGAGGATTCATGAAAAGGGGGAAACAAATGAGGTAACACCTAACACTGCTCTAGTTTACTGCCCGAAGAGAGTTACCAGTCTATAACACAATGAGAAACAACTTATGCAAATCCTAACAGTGTCACTGAGTTGAGAAGATGGAATTGGGTGTATAAGTAGACCAATATTAACAAATCTCTAGGCAGGCAGACTGATTTAAGAGAGAGAGAAAGAGAGAGAGAGAGAGAGAGAGAGAGAGAGAGAGAGAGAGAACACAAATTACCAATATCAGGAATGACACAGGTGATATCACTGGACAATCCATACATACTAAACAAATAATTAGAAAACATAATTAGAAAACATTATTAATAGCGTAAGTCAATAGATTTGACAAGTTAGATGAATAAGACACAAACCATCAAAGCTCATTCAGGAAGAAATAACTCGAATAGCACTGTATTTATCAAATATATTTCTTTTGTAGTTAAAAAGTTTCCCATAAAGAAATTCCAGGTTTAGATGGTGTTGAATTATACTGAACATTTAAGGAAGGAAAATAATACCAACATATACAACAAACTCTTCAGAAAACTGAAAAGAAGTCGGGCTCGGTGGCTCAGCGTGTAATCCCGCGCCTTTGGGAGGCTGAGGTGAGTGGATTGCCTGAGCCCACGGGTTCAAGACCTGCCTGGGCAACTTGGTGAGACCTCATCTCTACAATAAAATAAAAAAATTAGCTGGGCGTGGTAGTGCGTGCCTGTAGTTCCAGCTACTTGGAAGGCTGAGGTGGAAGGATCGCCGGAGCCCAGCAGGTCGAGGCTGCAGTGGCCGGGAGCGGCCACTGCACTCCAGTCTGGGTGACAGAGTGAGACTCCAACTCAAAAAAACAAAACAAAACAAAAACTGAAAAGAAGGGAATATTTCCCAGCCCATTCTTTGAGGAGAGCATTACTTTCACCTCCAAATCAGAAAACTATAGACTGACTATAGATACAAATATTCTAAATAATTTTTTTTTTAACTTTTAAAAAGTTTTATTTAAAGATGTGGGGTACAATTTAAGATTTAGGTAAAGTTTGGGCCTCCCTTGGGTCTCCAGTTTGCCTGGTTTGAGATCAGATATCCTTATTGATGTTGTGTCCCATCCCTCCTGTCCCAGGCAGTATCCTGCTACTGCCAATCCCTTTCTTATAGTATTACGGTAAATGTTCAGGGTTCACTTAGGAGTGAGAACATGTGGTACTCACTCACTTTGTTTCTATGATAGACCATTGAATATGATAGACTCTAAATCCATCCAAGTTGCTGCAAAGTTCATATGTTTGTCTCTCTTTATGGCTGTGTAATATTCCATTGTGTATACGTACCACATTTTTTTAACCCAGTTCGGTTTCAATGGGCAGCATGGTTGGTTCCATGTTTTTGCTATCATGAATAGTGTTACAATAAAGATGTGTATACAGGTAGCTCTTCTGCAGAATGATTTAAGTTCCTCTGAGCGTATTCCCAGTAGGGGGACAGCAGGGTCATATGAAAGGTCAATGTCCAGTTCTTTTAGAAATCGCCACACTGTTTTCCAAAGAGGTTGTACTAGTTTGCATTCCCACCAGCAGTGCAGAAGTGTTCCTTTTTTCCCACATCCCCTCTAGCATCTGTTGTTTTTTGAGTTATTAATGATGGCCATTCTTACTGGGGTTAGGTGGTATTGCAATGTGGTTTTGACTTGCATTTCTCTGATGATTAGTGAGGCTGAGCACTTTCTCATGTATCTGTTGGCTGCCAGTATATCTTCTTTTGAGAAATGGCTCTTCATGTCTCTTGCCCACTTTTTAATGGGGCTGTTTTTTTCCTTTCGGCACTTTTGAGTTCCTTTTAGATCTGAATGTTAGGCCTTTGTCAGATGTACAGTTGGCAAATATTTTTTTCCCATTCTGTGGACTGTCTCCCCACTCTCCTGATGGTTTCTTTTGCTTTGTAGAAGTTTTTCAGTTTGATTAGGTCCCACTTGTCTATCTTATCTCTTATGGCATGGGCACGTGGGGTTTTGATTAGGAATTGGTTGCCAGTTCCAATTTCCATAAGGATGTTTCCTGCATTTTCTAAGGTTCTTATAGCTTGAGGTTTTACGTATAGGTCTTTGATCCATTTAGAGTTGATTTTTGTGTATGGTGATAGGTAAGGGTCCTGTTTCAATCTTCTGTATGTGGTCAGTCAGTTTTCCCAGCACCGGTTACTGAATAGGTTCTCCTCTCCTCAGTGTTTGTTGGTGGAGTCTTTGTTGAAGATGAATTCGTTGAGAAATTGAGGTTTTGCTTCCAGAATCTCTATTCTGTTCCATTGGTCCTTATGCCTATTCTTGTACCAATACCAGGCAGTTTTGATTATTGTAGCCTTATAGTACAGTTTAAAGTCTGAAAGTGTCATACTTCCCCCTTTGTTTCTTTTGCTGAGGATTGTTTTAGCTATTTGTGGTTATTTTGGTCATTTATGTTTCCATAGGAATTTCCGTATTGTCATTTTCAGATCTGAGAAGAATGATGTTGGTAATTTCATTGGTATTGCATTGAATCTGTACATTGCCTTGGGTAGGGTGGACATCTTAACAATGTTGATTCTTCCTAACCATGAACATGGGCCATTTTTCCATTTGTTTGAATCTTCTTGAATGTCTTTGAGCAGTGTTTTGTAGTTTTCATTGTAAAGTCTTTCACTTCTCTGGTTAGAAAGATGTGGAGGCATTTCATTTTTTTGGTGGCTATTGTGAATGGGATTGTGGCTTTTTTTTTTTTTTTTTTTTGAGTTGGAGTCTCATTCTGTTGCCAAGGCTGGAATGCAGTGGCATGCTCATGGCCACTGTAGCCTTGATGTGCTGGACTCAGGCGATCCTTCCACCTCAGCCTTCCAAGTAGCTGGAACTACAGGCATGTGTCACCACGCCCAGCTAATTTTTTGATTTATTGTAGAGATGAGGTCTTACCAAGTTGCCCAGGCTGTTCTCAAACCTCTGGGTTCAGGCAATTCTCTCACCGCGACCTCCAAAAGTGCTGGGATTACAGGCTTGAGCCACCATTGCTGGCCGGGGATTATGCTTTTTATTTGGTTCTCTGCCTGCTTGTTGTTAGTATATAAGAATGCAACTATGTTTTGCATATTTATTTTGTACCCTGAGACTTTGCCAAAATCCTTTATTATTGAGAGCAGGTTTTTGCCAGATTCACTTGGGTTTTTGAGGTATAGGATCATATCGTCAGCAAAGAGGGATAATTTAATTTCCTCTTCTCCTATTTGGATACTCCTGATTTCCTTCTCTAAATAAAATTTAAGCACAGCAAACCCAACAATATATTTTAAAAGATAATAAATCATGATAAAGTGGGTTTACTCTAGTAATGCAAGGTGGGTTTAATATTCAAAAGTCAATCAGTTTTATTTACCAGATTAAATAAGAAAGCCATAAGACAATTGTAATAGATGCAGAAAAAGCATTTGACAAAATTTAATATCCATTCCTATTAAAAACTTTCATCAAACTAGGAATATAAGGGAACTTTCTCAACCTGATAAAGAGCACTTAGGAAAAACTTATTGCTAATATCATTCCTAAGGTGAATGATGGAATGTTTTCCTCTTAGGCTCAAGAACAATGCAAAAGAGTTTGCTCATTAACACTATACTGGAGACTGTAGCTAGTACAATAAGGAAAGCAAAATAAATAAAAGGCATCAAGATGATAAAAGAAGTAAAATAGTCACTATTTGCAAATGGTATGATTGTTTATATCTGTAGTTTTCAACAGTGAGCAATTTTGCCCACCAGGGGAATTTAGCAATGTCTGGAGATATTTTGGTTGTCACACTAGGGCAGATGAGGGTTGGGGTGGTGTCACTGCATTTAATGTGTAGAGGCTAGGGATGCTGTGAAACATCCTACAATGTCAATAATGTAAAGACTGAGAAATCCTAGCCTATGTAAAAAAATCCTATGGAATTTAGAACAAAGTAACTAGAACTACTAAGTGAGTTTAGTAA